CATCTGTGGCTACTGAAAACAATTAAAAGGAAGTATAATTAGTTTTTGATGTATTCACAGCCTACCATTTTTTCAATAAGTTCTACATGACCTGTAGAGTGTTAAAGATCATAGGCCCAGATATAGTAGATTATCTAAAGCATCAGAGAGCACTCAACCACTTTAAACTACAAAGGTGGCCCTTTCAGATCTTAGTCAGATATTTTAACTAGCTCACCACAATATCTTTCCATACTGATGAGCGGCATCACAACGTCGGACAACAGGACAACCTCACATTTGATCCAGCAAGATTGCACCAACTTCACTTTAAAGAAAAACTGGACACTGCCATTCCCTAGTTAACACTGAAAATGACATACATTAACTTATCTAGGATGATAATGATTTCAAGCACATGCACACTCAGAGATCTTCCATAAACTTCCTGGTGAAAACAACAATAACACTGGTTATAGAAAGGAATAAACATTCACGGCAAACTGAACAGCAGAAAAGTCACCAACTTACTAAAACTTACAAAAATAGATGCTGTTGTTTTGAAGGGCACAGTTCTTAGCTTATTAACACAAAACATCACTGCGATATTATCCGTACTTCTTACTAATTATATTGCTTTATTACATCTTGCCTTGTTTGTAACCTTTGCCTGTCCCCTGCTCCCAAGTATTGTTCAAACATTTCTTGCTGGTTCTTCTTTTTTTTCCATGTTTGCAAACACATAGAATGACCCAACAGCTTCTCCTCAGGCACTATAATTTCTCTCTACATCAAATTCGGCCTATTAAAACTAAAAGCCAAGTTGGTTGTTGCTCCAAACAAGACAATATCTAATCACCAGCAGTCTAGAAAACAACATAAAAGATCAACAAAATCATTTTAATACCCTTCTCTTTCTCTTTCCCTCTCTCTTTCCCTCTCTCTCTCTCTCTCTTTCTGTTTATCTGGGTGACAGTTCCATTCACCTTGTTAGCTTGTTAAGAACAACAGCTTAGCAGAAGGATTACCTCTGAAATCAGTACACACCCTTTACTTTACACGTTTACCAAAGCGAGGTGCAGTATATAGCCAATCCAGAAACTGCATGGTATCCTTCCACTTGACTATACTGTTTGACGCAAGATCCTTTTAACAAGATTGTGGAAAATGAAAGAGAGCTGCATTTTCGTCGGGTTTTACTGAAATTTGGCTTGCACCTTTGACTGCACAACTATCAAGATACATTCTAGAGTATAGGAAAAAAAAATAGAAAATATATTTTCTCCATAGGGCTACTGCAATGAAGACCTGGTTCCTGCAAAGGGATTAGCTAAGCAGCTTGGCAGCTGAACAGAGACAGTCAGGACAATTCGTACTGGGCCTTCATCTGTTTAAAAACGATTTTCTTAGATTTGTAGGAGTGTTCTAAGATGAAACATTATACGCATTCAATGTGGGTTGAATGGAATCAATGCACATACAATTGGAGCTAGCAGCTGCTACATTCATTTATTCGTTTTTATACTATCAATCCCCTAATTTAGTGTATTTGAGAGTACAGGGCAGGGATGCAAAAAAAAAAAAATGCAGCTTATGAATCACTTGAGGAGATCCCTTTTTCAGCCTGCCCACACACACACTCTCTCCAGTTCTTTTATTTTTGCATGGTCTTTTGCTTTGGGATTTTTTTTTCAAGGAGAAAAATGGATGTCTAAAGTTGTGGAGAGGCCAGATCCCCCCCAAATCGGGATGATTAGTTGGGTATGTGCATTTAGGGAAGGAAAAAAACCCTTTGGAGTTTTGTTTTGTTTTTAAAAAAATGTTATTTTGGCCACAATTTTTCTTTCTTTCTTGGTATAATATATGAGAAGATAACTCTTCGAATGGTGGTCTCTAAAAAGTTTTTTTTAAAAGCATTCTGGAAAGGGCACAGCCAAAAAAATAAATGATGCATAAAATAAGAATTGACATTTTCCTAAATCCCAACTAGTTTTAATTTAGATTGTTGGTAAAAAAAAAACTGTTTGGATTCAAAACAAACAATAAATCAATCTTTACAGATGCGATTCATACACATGCTGCTGATTTTCAAGTTCATCTACCCACACAACAGGAAATGAAATTATAACAGCAGTTTCATGGCAACATTAATTTGAGTTGATAAACCAGAGAGTTGCACATAACTCTGGTTGCTGCAAACTTCAAGAGCCAGGTGTGTATATCAGACCTAAGCCATGGTTGCTTAATAAAAGCATCATTACTCATTGTTATTTCAAATTCTTGTTCCCATAAACATACATCACAGCCCCTAAGCAATCGCGCCTTTGCATTGCTAGACACTTCCAGCTTATCTGCAATAACACCCACGACCTCTGTTAAATAGTAATAGCACACAAAAGAAAGAATATAAAATCATTAAGTCAGGAAAGAAAGGTTAATAATAGGCATTTTCATAACTTTGCACATGTGAATTTCCTTTGGTTGATTCAAGACGTTTGTTTTTGGAGCACAGAACTACTCATTCTGGAGACTATCACCCAAATTTCTGTATCCCAATAACAGAAAACACAATTTATCTCAATCTAAAGCAGTGGTGGGTTTCAGAAACGCTTTAGATTGAAATTGTTCACATGCCTTCCACGCGTGCACCCAGCCTCGAAAACGTGGCTAAATAGAACAGCATTACATCCTGGAGGGTAAGCAGCCCCCCACAGTCGGCACTACCGGTTCACGCAAACCGGTGCAAACCAGCAGAATTCCACCTCTGATCTAAAGTTAAGGGACGTATATTTACAACCAACAAACAGAACATAACTTCCTTGTACTAAATTCTCCATTCTTTGCATGTCTGAAAATTCTAAACTGGATGGTCTTATTGATCTCAACAGCTGCCAGGTTTTACTATGCAAATTTCCCACTATTTAGAAAGTATTCTAACATTACAGAAATAGATAATTTTATAATGACTCCTCCATTATAAAGAGCAAAATAAATTAGGTTTCCCAATGAAGTATCTTTTGTATCACAACTTGCTTAAGTCCAAATGTGTGGCTACTTGAATACTGGGAATTGGAAGAGATGTCAGCCTTTCAAGCAACCAGAAGACTGACACAGATTTAGTGTTTCTGCAGTACAAAGTGATTCATAACACAATTCTCCACAATAGATTAATAGGAAAGACAATTCCTGTGTTCAGCTGGAAAAGCTTCACTTTTCAGTGCTGCCAAGAGCTGAAAACCGTCAACAGTTAATTCACAGCTGCAAGTGACATGCAAGCTTTGAAAATTCAATGAGCTAGTCACTATTTGATGAAAAAAGTGATGTCAAAGGATCACACAGGGGAGGCAGAATGGCATTTTGTGCACTGTTTTCTAGCAAAATCTCCATAGTATACAACTCAATCGCAGTTAGCCCCCATATCCAAACCTAGGCCGAGCGCTTATCCTTGTTAATGGCAACTCTGGGAAATCGATTTGAGCTTTTCTTCCATTACTAATTCAAAATGCTTGATTCTGCAAACACTTTTTGAAAAATAATCGTAGTGGGCTCTCCACTGTGTTTTAATTTTAACTGCTGCTTTGTTTCTTTAATATTCTTGATCACTAATGCTTAAGAGCAGAGCAGTGATTTTAATATATTATTTTAACTCTCTTTTATGATGTGGTTTGTGGAAGAAAGGTGGGGGGGAGAAACTTGTTCTCAGGGGTGGCAAAATCGATTTCATTGAGAGCCGCATCAGGGTTGTGTTTGTCCTCAGGGGGCTGGGGTGGGCGTGGCCAGTTTGATGTCACTCCTGTTATGGGCGCCTGTGGTGGTCCAAGCACTCTGCCAGCGAAAACAGACTCCCACGCTCCGTTTTTGGTTGCCACGGCTTCCTGCAACCCTCTGCCAGTGAAAACGGAGCTCGGGAACCCGTTTTCACTGGCAGAAGCACTGCGGGCCGGTCCTTCACTGTTTCCAGGGCAGTCCTGTGGGCCATATCAAAGTACCCCACAAGCCGGTTGAGTTTGACACCCCTGTAGTAAGTGAACAAGATCAAAACTATCTGGCTTAATTGTAGAAAAAAAATATATCCAGGAAGTTTGTACGTGCTTGAGGCTTAATTCCCCTAATACTATATAGAGCTATATAGAGATTTTTTATTATAGACAATACAACCATTATAATGCCTGTACTTGACAGCCAATTGAATCCTACTATTTACTAGAGATGCCACCCAACAGAAAAAAAAGAAAAATGAATACAGCCGTGCATACACGCACACGCACACACACAGAGAAACTTTTGAGTGAGAAGTGGAATGACATTCTGGCCACCTTGTACAACAGTATAATAAACACAGGAGTGCTTGCTCAGATGACATTTTTTTAAATTCTGGGAAACAAAATTATAATAGACATTGCCATCTGCCACTATCTGCCCTTATTTAAAATATGTCAAAATGTATCCTTTAACACAAGGCCCACCAAATCCCGGTCCGTGAACTGGCACTAGTCCACGGCATGCCAGAAACTAGGCTGCTCAAACAAGTGAAGCTTCTCCGGTCCACGGAAAAACCTCTCTCCACAGAACCGGTCCCTGGTGCCCAAAAGGTTTGGTGGGGGCACTGTTTTAACAGAGGCAGGAACACATCTATTTTACAGATATTATCCTATTGAGGATTATGACTACATGTCCTAGAATCCCTGACAAACTATTCCATTCTCAGTTCCTGGTGGAAGACGATGCTCCACTAAAAACTTAAAACACTCAATACTGCTGTCTTTCCTAAGTTTATGCATCCTTTGGTAAGGTGAACTACTGAGTGCATAGAGCCACACTAGCACTGAGTAGCAACTGATTCTCATCTTAAAGAGCTCCATAAAGAGAACTTCTATGGAGCACGTTCAGTTCCGATTAACGTCCTACTTAAAAACGCATGACCATATTACAGCCTATGATTTCGACGTTAATTATGCAAATAATTGTGTTTAACTTTGAGGCCAACGCACAATCAAACCGAACACAGCTAATACACCGACCTCAATTGGTTCCGTGGGTATTTTCAATTTGGGTAAGTTGGTCTTGACGTTGGTTTTTAAATTTGTTATTTTCCCATAGGACTGTTCCTGGTATTCCTCTGGCAGTGGCTTGAGTTCAGGTGACTCATCTGGAGCCTGGTCTTGGCCATCCATTGGTCTAACGTAGGCAGTGGGTTTCTGTTGTATTGCACTGGTTTTTGATAAGGATGAGGGAAATGTCTGGCTGGAAAGCTGAGCATTGACAGCTACGGTAGCGGTTGAAGTGTCCTCATTTTCATTATCGCGTGTGCTGGTCAGGAGCTCCAGAGACGGGGAGCTATTTTGCCCATGCTTTTCGATCTTACTGCTGAGGGATCTGGAACTGACACACTGGCCGGAATGTAAAGGGGACAGAGGTGGTACAGGGGAACACAACGTAGACAATAAGGGAGAAAGTTCCATAAGTGAGGGTCGCGTCTCAGGTGCAGTAGTTTTTTCAGTGGACTTTTTACTTTTCGGCGGACATCTACCACTTTGAAGTCCTTCAGTCTTGCAGCTCTTGGCGGGACCTGGCTTCTGATAGCTAGGCAATCCAGCGCTTTGTGAGGCTGGCTCCACCCTCGAGTGAATTTTTGGGTAGGAGCTGCCTCCAGACGGAACATCCGAGCTAAGAGGTCCCCCGTGTTTGCGATGGTGGCCGCGGTTCTGGAATGGGGTGCCAGTCTTTTCAGAAAGGAGCGGGCGATTTGCTTTAGGCGGGGGGAAGAGAGGCATCACACTTGTAGGAATCCCTATGAAATTCTGATAGAACTGGTTGACGATGAGCTCTTTCATCTCTTCATAATTGCCAAACATTTTCTGAATTCGGCTAGACAATTCATCGGCTTTGTTATTCTGAAATGAGACAGAATGCCAAGGGGGGGGGAAAAAAAAAGCAGTGAAAAAAAAAAAAAACAGGAAGAGCAGGAAAAAGCAGAAATAAGGTACGAAGCTATGAATTAAACCCAAAGAGCTCATTGTCCATCAGCCTAAGAGCTCACTGATCAATTTGCAACCGTAGCTTGGGTTTTCTAAGAACCTGCAAACTACAACGGCTTGCAGGGTGCTCTTTGTGCAAAGGTGCAATGTCATGCAACAAAAATTACTTCACTTCCTCCAGCAGTCCTTTGAAGGTATGCTGAGCCTTTTTAACACATTGCTGTTAAGGGAGAGGAGAGTACTAGAGTCCCAGACAGATATTTCTATTTTTTGAGGCAATAACCCAAAAATAGATGGAAAAGAAAAGGCACCACAAATTAAATAAAATCTAAATACAGGTACCTTAATAGCTACGTGGCAGGAGTGGGTTCTACTTACCTTTACTACCGGTTCTCAACGGGGCCGCGCGCTCTTCTGCACATGCAGAACGTCATTTGGATGACGTCATTTTGATGATGTCGGGGTCGGTGGGCGGAGCCTCCCACCGGTTTTACTACCGGTTCTATAGAACCGGTGCGAACCGGGGGCAACCCACCACTGCTATGTGGCAACAACAAAAAAGTGAATACTCCATGCATTTGAAAAAAAAATCGCATATCTTTTGTATTCACTGACCACAACAGTAGGGGTTGGAGGAGAAAAGGCTAATTCTTGACAAGTTATCTTAATAAATCATTGGTCTATACAGAACTACAATTTCTGGGAATAAACTATCTTCTTAACTAGGAAAGGCTAGAGGTGAGGTCTTGCTTGGACTTTGGGCAAATGAAAGAGTGGTTCAAGAATAAAATAGATATAAATTTTAGAGGTTAATAGCCATCACAATCATGGGTAGACAACGATACTAAGGTCTGAAAAGGTGGGATTTATTTATTTACAGTATTTAGAGAATTTATATGGCCACTCATTTACTTTCAGAGACTCTGGGATGCTTACAAATTTGTTTTAAAAAAACTCAGTAACTGCAACCCCAACTCCCACCCTTGGTGACAACAACAATCAAAGAAGCCATTTAATGAGCTCCATCCCACTCTAGGTTCCCCAGGCCCGTTGGCAAAACCAGGTCTTGCAAAAGCATATCGAGGTAGGGCCAGTCTAATCTCCACAGGCTTGATATTCCAAAGGGAGGGGGCCACCACAGAGAAGGCCCTTCTTCTGGGTTCCGCCAGATGTACCTCTTTAGGAAAGGTGACCCGCAACATTCCCTGCCTCTCTCGTCTAGTGGATCAGGTGGATGTAACCAGGAAGAGATGGTCCTTGGGATAACCTGGCCATGTCGAGCTTTAAAGGTGACAACCAGTGCCTTGAACTGCACCCGGGAGCAAGTCTGCAACCCGCAAAAGAGATGACACATGTGCATACCTGGGTCTGCACAAAACCATATGGGCTGCTGCATTTTGAACCAACGGGAACCTCTGGGTGCTTTTCAAGGGCAACCCCATGTAGAGCACATTGCAATAGTCAAGATGGGAGGTGACTAGGATAAATGTCTTAAGTTTTGCAAAAGCTTAAACCACCCATACTGTGTATTGCAAAAAACAAACAAACTACTGTCTTAGCATCATTCATTGGAATCCTTCAGTCTCAAAAGACTATGGTATCGTGCTCTGGAAAGAGGTCCTAAAACAGCATCTAGTGTGACTAAAAAGGCCAATTCGAGAATGGCAATCCCTTCCACACTGAGGGCGGATACATTCTGTCCCCTGCCCAGCCCCCAGATTTCGCTGGTTCCGGGACTGCCTCTTTGCCTCAGCCTGCCGAACAAGGGTCTCTTCGAATTGGAGAAGGCCATGATGCTTAGCATGAAAGATAGACCAAATCTAACTTTCAAATCCTCTTAAAACAAAGAGGCAAACTGGAACATATAAAACTATCAGCTCATTCTATGATATAACGGAGGTATGTTGTGGATACCTTGTAAGGCGCTCCAAAAAGGGGAATATCTGCAGGGAACGCTTCTCTCTCCTGATGGGCTTCCTGATTTCGCCTTTCTTTTGCTTGAATGCGGAGCAAATTTCTCTCTTCATTGTACAAGCTGTTGGGAGAACAAGCATTTCATCATGAAAGCAAAACATTTTCAACTGACATTTTTAAGAATTTCAAAGGAAGTTGGGTAATTCAGCAGCTCAGGAAACTTGCACATAACGGTTAGCTTCGCAGCACCGCATATATCCACTTATCTATAGACATACAGGTACATATGCAGAAAAATCTTTAGGGGAAAAAAATAGCAAATCTCTGAATGGCTGTATTTCCCAAGGTTACCAAGTCATTCATTGTTCAATGTGGCTTTGTAAGTTTGAAGGTTGCATATCTATTCACGATGATCTTCATTTCAGCCACTTTTTGGATTCAACGCTTTAAAGCAATAACAGCTGTCATGCTCACAGGGTGAATGGAAGAGGTTGATATTCTAAATTGAATCAAGAAGAGTTGCTTACTACAGCAATACAAGATCCAGTTCAGGTTTGAAACTTACACAACTTGTCTGACACAGTAGGCAATTGGGTAGAGGGAAGGAATGTTATGATATATGCAACAGCTTCTTGGCTTTTCTAAACCTTACACAATTTCAACATCCATCTTAACAAATTTCACAGCAGCTGTCTCTGTGTCTTAAGGCACAAGAATATCCAAGAAGGATAATGCCCTCGTATTTACATGCTCATAAATAGTTATTGCTCTTCTACCTTACAAAAGGTCACTTTTTATATTTCTAATCTTTAAGAAAAGATTAAACAAAAAGAAATAGATTCTGAAATTTCCCCTAAATCAGGGTTTTCCACGACTGAATGAACTGGCGTTTTCCCTTCTAATGCTTTATTCTAAGGATGACATGATAGCAGTATTCCAGTATTTGAGGGGCTGCCACAAAGAAGAAGGAGTCAACTTATTTTCCAAAGCACCTGAAGGCAAGACAAGAAACAATGGATGGAAACTAATCAAGGAGATGCAACCTGGAATTAAGGAGAAACTTCCTAACAGTGAGGACAATCAATCAGTGGAACAGCTTGCCTTGGGCGCTCCATCACTGGACATTTTTAAGAAGAGACTGGACAGCTACTTGTCTGAAATGGTATGGAGCAGGGGTCACCAACCTTTCGGACCTCAGGGACCACTAAATTCATAATTTTAAATCCCACCGACCACTAATATGAGCTGCCTAATGACTGGCTGGCTGGGCGTGGCTAGGTGGTCATGTGACTGGGTGGGCATGGCCAACTCCTCACCTCCCCGCCCAGGCTCCTTACGGCCCCAACAGGAAGCAATTGTTGGAACTAAGCAGCCACCACGAGAAAGAGTTGGCAAAACAGCTCAGTTCAAATTGGATCTGACCGAGGAGGAGGCTCAGCAGAAGCACCTCACTGAGGATTATGAGCATAGGCTTTCCAAGCAGAGGGAAGACCTGCGGGAGTGCAGGCCAGGTACCGGCGCCTGGAGGCTCAATGGGCTGAGATGGTCAGCCAGTTCCAGGCCATGATTCAGTCCCACTGGAAACAAGGCCCTCTGGTTCGTCACCACCAGCGGCACTTCCCTCCAGCCTTCTCCCAAAGACCCGCGCCAGGAGGCTGAAGCAAACCCCACGTCAGAATTTCTGCCCCACACAAAAAGACCTCGAAGGGGGAGACTCTCTGTAGCAACACAAATGTTCATTGCATGTATCCAACCCAGGGGCAGTAGTTTGAGGACCCCTGATTTAGTACAATATTAAAAATGCAAATATTTTTTCTGCGGACCACCAAAATTTTCTCACGGACCACCAGTTGGTGACCGCTGGTATAGAGCACGGGTGTCAAACTCGATTGTGTCACATGATGTATCTTGACGGCTTTTTGCCTTTGTGGAGCCGGGGTGGGCGTGGCCTTCACGCGACGCATCTGGCCCACAGGCTGCCAGTTTGACACCTCTGGTATAGTCTCTCCAGGGGGTTGGACTAGAAGACCTCCATGGTCGCTTCCTGCTCTATTCTGATTGATATTCTATTAGTTTTTTTTTTTTTAAAAAGGGAGGGGGAGGAGGGAACATTTCATAGATAAAAAGCATGCAGGATAGCCCTGACTTACGGCATCTTTCTATATGGCCTCATATATCCCACCTCCTCTCCTTTAGTCTCCCTCCATATATATCCTTCAGTGTTCAGGTTTTCCAGCTCTCCTCCCAATGCAAACGTTGACCACTTGGATAACAAATAGCAAATGTTGGTGGACCGCTCTCTGAAAAGAGGCACAGTTTTCATCCACCATAATGAAATTTCAGTGTTTCCTTAAGCTCCTACCCTAACATAAAAGCTATGGTTTGTCAGCATTTTTCTTGCACAGATCATGAAAGCGGCAACAAATCCCGTTCCCCAAACAATGGCCTCTTTTGGTTTTCATCCTTGGATTGAGTGTGCAGTTTTTACTACATGCAGGGTAAGGGGGAAAGGAGCTGCAGTCTTTTCAATCATTTTCGGTGCAAGCAAGTTAATTGAAAAAGCCTCCAAATGTTGATATATATGTGAACCTTATCCTTTAAACCAACCGTTTATCCACAATAAGAATAAAAGACAGATATGCAATATCAGGAAAAACAAGGTTATGTAAGAAACCTGGCACGGGTTCCATGGGAAGCACAATCTGATCTGTACTTTTCTTCTGCTTTCAATATTTTTAGCTATATTAATTTACAACACCTAGTGGTGCTAATACTGCAGCATTCGGCCAACCTTGACTGATCTTGGAAAAAGAAAAAAAAAAAAGACTAAACAGATGAACAAGATGGGTGACTACCCATCTTTAAACTTTAAGACTGAAAAGGTTTTTTTAAAAAAAATATTAAAATTTTGGAAAAAAACAGTAGAAAACCAATTCCGTAATGTTGCTTTGGGTGGGGAAGCGTCCATGTAGTTTGACAGAATTGAGCTTGACCGAAAAGGGAGGCCGCTTTACCAATTTTAGAGGTGTAAATTAATCAGTAAGGATTCCCAGGTCTTATCGCATTCAGTAACATTACCGTATCTATGGTTAAGATTGCAATTAAAGGCTGGGGGGTGGGGAGGAAAAGTGATCACGTGTCCTAGCTTCAGCCTAATCCTACAGAGTGGATTACATGTTTTTTTTTTAATTGTTGGTATCAAGATTAAATTCATAAGGTATATTTAAGATACTGGGTAGACATCCGGAATGTTTTCACTACAGCACAGTGAAGTGACTTCTTATTTATTTATTTATTATTTTATTTATTAATTAATTTTATTTCTATACTGCCCTTCTCTCGAAGGACTCAGGGCGGTGTGCAGCCTGATTAAAAGCACAAAGACAGACAAAATTTAAAAATAATTAAAATTATTAAATAATTGGCTCAATTATAAAACCCCCAAATTTAAAATCCCACAATTAAAACCAATTAAAATCTTTACATTGATAGCCCGGCCTGGTGGAACAACAAGGTTTTGAGGGCACAGCGAAATACACGGAGATCGGAGATCTTACACATTTCTGGGGGCAGTTCATTCCAAAGGGCAGGGGCTCCCACAGAGAATGCCCTCCCCCTGGATGTCGCCAGCCGACATAATTTGGTGATGGCCCCCTGAGGAGACTCTCTCTGTGGGAGCGGACTGGCCGGTGGGAGGCTACTGGTGGCAGAAGACAGTCTCGACTTCTTGCCAATTCCTTAGTGCCATTTATAACCCTTAAAAAAACCTCACTTTTCACAACCCTGTAATCCCTTAATTTGGGGTAGAGTTAAGGTGACTGATGGAGCTGAGCATTTACTGGTCAGATGCCTTTCCTGATGCCAAGCAGAGTTCACAGCGGATATTTGTTCTCTACATCCTAGGAGAGAAATATCTGCTGCTACCTAGGTTTGAACTCTCAACCTTCTGAGTGGGAGATGAGCGTCTTCACCACTAGGCCACCACACCGCTCACATCTAGAGCCCTTTCTACTGATCAAAATTGTATGAATGAATGCAGTCGGCTTTAGTAAGTTTCTTTTCTGTGCATCAAATTGTGCCTGCATGAAGGCATAACTCTACAGAATTATCAACAGTAATGGCAAACAGATATTGTAGTTATCATTAAATAATTTTAGCTCACCTTTTTATTCCCAATAGGGCAAAGTGTATTCCCTATTGTCAAAGTTACCCAAAGTAAATGTTTTGCATATTCATTTGCCCTCCATTATCCACCTCTTGATAGTTATACCTCTTGATAATAATCCCATAATGTTGAGGTTAGGCTGATAAAACAGTCATTCATAACTAATGAAAATGAGTTCCATAAAGATCTTTCTTTCAGAAAGCTACTCTCACCACTACATATCAATGCTTTTCAACTGTTATTATTTCTTTAAAAAAAATATTAGCAGAGTAACTAGCAGTGTCTCAGCTTGGGAGACTGGTGAGATTTTCATGCTGGGAGAATCTTATCAATAAAGACAGCTTTTGTTCCATGCAATCTGATCCATTCACAAGTCCTCATTTATGCCATCGATTTTCTACGCTTTCCCCCAAAAGATCAGGCAGTTGGGCATTTAGAATAGGAGCATTTTTTCGGTCACCGCGCCAAACATTCAATCTTCCTCAGCAAACAGGTCCCCATGTTCTACTGCAATCTTTGTGTGAGAGGATATTTGTGAAGAGAATACTATTTGGATGCTTCGGTTCCTTTGAATATCTTTTGAAACAGAAAACCAAGTATAAGTGTTCCGCTTTTAAAAAAAACAAACAAGAATTTGATATGAATAGAATCTACATTCTTTTGCTAGACCAATTTCCTCTCATTTTCATTTTTAGAGTACTTAGGTATTTTTTAATATAGGAAGTTTATTATAGTCCACTGGTTACAAGAGGGTTACAGATTCAAGGCACCTGGAGTGATCTCATTGCAGCCATACCAGAAGCAGTTAGATCAGGGGTGTCAAACTCGCGGCCCACGGGCCAGTTGCGTCACGTGCTCGCCCCGCTTGGTTTAGCAAAGGGGGAAAAAAGTCTTGATACATCACGTGACACCACTGTGCCGCCAGTTTAACAACCCTGAGTTAGATGGTTAGCTTCTTTAGATATTGAATCATAACATAGCAATAGCACTTAGACTTATATACCACTTCATAGGGCTTTTACAACCCTCTCTAAGCAGTTTACAGAGTCAGCCTATTGCCCCCAACAATCTGGCTCCTCATTTATTTATTTTTTTATTTAATTTGATTTATATGCCGCCCTTCTCCGGAGACTCAGGGTGACTTACAATGCGTTAAGCAATAGCCTTCATACTTTTGTATATTTATACAAAGTCAGCTTATTGCCCCCACAAACTGGGTCCTCATTTAACCTACCTTAGAAAGGATGGAAGGCTGAGTCAACCTTGAGCCTGGTGAGATTTGATCCGCCAAATTGCAGGCAGCCGGCAGTCAGCAGAAGTAGCCTGCAGTACTGCATTCTAACCACTATGCCACCACGTCTCTTCATTCCTTTGCAATTCTATGGCTCCATATTACGGTGATTTTATTATGGTTTCATCTTAATTTAATATATTATCTCCTATATTGTATTGTCCACATAATATACATATGTGTGCGTGCATGCGCACGTGCTGATACTTTTATTTAAACTACATTTGTATATTAGTGATTGCATGACTTCTGTAGATGCTGTACATTAAATAAATAAAATAAACTGGTTAGAGGAGAAAGTAAATAATTCACCTGAATTCAGGCTAGATAAGGAACATTTACTGTAAAATTTCCATTGGTGAAGAGGAATTGCTACCTTATGCAATAGAAATGAGGGTAATAGCATATAAACTGATTGCTAGTTGGATGTAATATGCTGCTGGCTGGGATATAGTCAGTGGTGGGATTCAGCCAGTTCGCACCATTTCGGGAGAGCCGATTGTTAACTTTCTGAGCAGTTTGGAAAACTGGTTGTTGGAAGAAATCATTAGGGCAGAGAACCGGTTGTTAAATTACTTGAATCCCACCACTGGATATAGCTATAGATACCGTGTTTCCCCCAAAATAATACCCTGTCTTATATTTTTTTGAACCCTGAAATAAGTGCTTGGCCTTACTGCCATGAGCTCAAAAGCCCGATTGTGTTTATTATCAGGGGATGTCTTATTTTGGGGGAAACAGGGTACTTCATCGAACACATCTGAAACTCATTTCTCAAGATATCTTACCCTGAGAAAGAAGAGGAAGATCCAACAACTCAATCTACACAAAATGGCACACCCATTTTGTACAAATCACTAGCATTATAAGCAGCCTTCTCAAGAGAATACTTAATGCTTTTCTGTACTGTGCCAATTTTAGATGATGTGGAATTAAAGAAACTGCAACCATTCAAGCCACCGAAAGGCTGCAATTTGACTGCACGGAGGCAAAGGAGCTATTTTCTGCTTTTAAATGAGAGGGGTTTTCAACTAAGAAGCAAATATGGAAAAAGAACACTGCTTATTTTCGTTTGAGGGCTGAAATTTGAATGAACTAACTGCTTCACGGCACAAATAGTAACATTAACCAAACTGGGATGGAAAGCAGTGTAGAAGAGGCCCTACAGATAAATTAGTCACAAGCTTAAAGCCAAGATTGGTTTAAATTCACTACTTCATTTCCTTGTTTGCTTCTTAATGAAGAATATGGGCAATGATTATGTGCCATAAAGTTACTGAATACTCTTGGCAACCATACAGGTAAGATTTTTCTCCAGGATAAAATGAGGAATATTACTGATGTGCTATTTATGAAAAGATATAGTATCGGATTCGAACTTGGGTATGGCTAGCTGATGAGAGCTAAATAGCTTGAAATAGATCTATACTAGTCTTCCTTTATTTCTTTATCAGCAAATATAAATCTGGTATAAAATGGTTTGTCATGAATGCAACTGCCTGAGGGCTCCTGGATTGGAGCTGAAAAGCAAAAGTATGCTCCCTCCCATATCGGGGTAGACCAGGTGTTTCTATAGAAAAACACTTTATATGTATGTATGTATGTATGTATGTATGTATGTATGTATGTATGTATGTAAATATATAAAGTGTTTTTCTATCAAAGCATCTGGTCTACCCAATAGTAGACACATACACATTCACAAGTCAAATCAATGTTACATTTTTATTCCATGTGATAGCTCTACAAGTGGAAGAAAAACTCAAAAGCTAAAAGCTGTAATTGCATGAGCATATATAAAATAATAATAATAAAAATAATAATCTACTCTTAATTCTTCTGTATAAACAATTTTGGCTAGTGGAAAACCTTGAAGCACTACTGCATAACACACGTTTTTGTTTTATATACTGAATAAAGGCTTCCAATCCATTTTTTCTTTCAGCTACCCAAATGAAATAATTTTCCAAAATTGTGTTTCATACATTATATTTTAGCATACTGAAACTGACAGCTGTGGCACTTGCATAATATAGTACGGTAGGCTTGAGGCATATTAAGCTAAGGATTGATTTGCTTTTCAGAAAACTAGTCTATCGTTTACTCAAGTACTAAAATTAAGATGTCAAAGGTTGTTAAGGAAAACTGAACTGTAGCCATTAAGAGCAGCATGTTACTGCAAAACAGAATTTTCTGAAGTGTGTCTGGGATTATCGATACTGCAATTCTATTAAACTTTCAAAACACAGTTTTTCACCCCAGCCTACAGTTAATTTGGGATACTACTATATAGCTTTATGTATTGGCTGTTTTTTGTAATCATTACAGTTTTATCTTCATTGTGCATATTGTTGCCGCAACTGTGGGCGGCATATGGAGTAATAAAAACATAATACAAAATGGTTAAAATTAAGAGAGATTAAATAAAGTAAAAGAACGGAAGATGGGTGACATGGGGATGAGGGTCTTCTATCTCAGAGGGGTCAAAGTCACATTGTCATGGCGGTGCCATGTGACTTATCGCAAGTTTTTCCCCCTTCGCTAAACCAGGTGTGGGTGTGGCCAGAGTGTGGCGCATCCAGCCCATGGGCCGCGAATTTGACAGCCCTGCTCTATCCCATCAGCCACCCCTCGCATAGAACACCCTATCAGGGCTCCCGACCAGCTGGCAGAGGCAGGTTTTAAGGTTCTTCTGGAAGGCCAGGAATGTAGGGGCCAACCTCACCTCTGGTGGAAGAATATTCCAAAGGGTGGGGGCCACAGCAGCAAAGGCTCTTCTTGACTCCCCCCCCCCAGCTGAAATTCTTTGGCAGATAGGGTGTGAAGTAGGCCTCTTCCGGTGGAGTAAATGAGACAGACCAATCCCATTGAGGCCAGATGACTCCTCAGATACCCTGAACCCATGCCATAAAGGGCATTGTGATGATATGATAAAAAGGCATCATGATTTTAACACTGTTGTATCATTTTTATTCTGTGTCCAATTGTACTAAGGGCCATTCGTTTCATTCTTGCCACAGTCAAGAAAAGAAAGAGAGAAGTCGTGAGGAAACAAAAGACACGTGCTACGGATTTCTGGTCAAATACACAGCATTTTTTCCTCACGAAATATGTAACAGCAGAAAACCATCAAATATGATCAATTCTCACTACAAGCTACATCCTGCCATGAGAGGCACTATTATCAGTTTTCTCAAAACCACTCCTTCCATCTTTTCAGAAAAGCCAGGGTTATTTGAAAAATAAATAAAACAAAATCCCTCCCGATATATATCTCATGAGATGAGTCACCCAAACTCCTATTTTGTTTCTTATTGAAATCTTGATGGAAGAAACTTCTAACAATGAGAAATCACCATTTAAAATATTTGCAAAGCGTCTGATGCAGTTGCGAATTCAGTCTCGTTTCCCCGGATGGTTGGCACTCCCCTCCAATCCTGCTGCTTTTCATCTAGCAGTCATGGTGACCATCTGTTCTTCTCTCACTGCAGCTTGGCTGAGCCTCTCCTTACAATGTCCATGAATGTATCTTGGCATGGCAAGATTAAGAAATGCCCTCTAGGTATTTCTGGACTGTTTGAAGTATAAGGTACCTTTTACTGTGGCTGTGTAGATATGGAACATAAAACACATTGGATAGTCTAGAGCCATGATGGCGAACCAATGGCACGCGTGCCCAAAGTGGCATGCAAAGCCATGTGGCACAGCACGCACGGCCTTGCCTGTTTGTCTTCCGGGTTTCTGGCATGCATGTGCCCACGCCGATCAGCTGTCCTTCATACCTATGGCAGTGCCAAAACCGGTGTGTGCATGTGCACTGGCCAGCTGATTATCGGGTGTGCATGCGCACCAGAACCTGGAAGTTCAGCTTTTCTGGAGCATGATCCCTTTGTGTGTGCAGCAGTGCCGAAAACCGGCTGGCACATGCGCACCGGCAAGCTAATCATCGGGCACGCATGCGTGCTAGAATTTTTTATTTATTTATTTATTTATTTTTATATGCCACCCTTCTCCGGAGACTCAGGGCGACTTACAATGCGTTAAGCAATAGCCTTCATACTTTTGTATATTTTATACAAAGTCAGCTTATTGCCCCCACAAACTGGGTCCTCATTTTACCCACCTTAGAAAGAATGGAAGGCTGAATCAACTTTGAGCCTGGTGAGAATTGAACTCGCAGTAATTGCAGGCAGCTGGATGTTAAATGCTGCCTTAGTAGGAGGCATTAGCCTCCTACGCCACTCAGGCTCAGAATCCAGAAGTTCGGCTTTTCCGGAGCGTGGCCCTGACAAGCGCGTGTGCGCGCATGCACGACATTTCCATGCTACCTTTTCGGCACTTTGTGCTGAAAATGTTCGCCATCACTGGTCTAGATAAAAGAAGGACTAGGGGGGACATGAGCAGTATTCCAGTATTTGAGAGGCTGCCACAAAAAGGAGGGGATCAGTTTATTTTCCAAAGCACCAGAGGGCTGGACAAGAAATAATGGATGGAAACTAATCAAGGAGAGAAGCAACTGGAATTAATTAAAGAGAAACTTCCTGACAATGAGGACAATTAACCAGTGGAACAGCTTGCCTCCAGAAGTTGTGGGTGCTTCATCACTGGAGATTTTCAAGAAGAGCCTTTAAAGTCACTTGTCTGAAATGGTATAAGGTCTCCCGCTTGAGCAGAGGGCTGGACTAAAAGACTTTTAAAGTCGACTCTTTTCTGATGAACAAAACTGAGAAGGTTCAGTATTTCACAACCTGTTGTAAATGAGGAAAGTGCATATTGTGCGTAAAAGGCTGGTGAAATTAGATGAGCAATAGCATAGCTTGGATCTTGTTTAGCCTGCAAGGGCCACCTCTCCATAAACACGTAAATTGCAGAGAAACACACGCTTGAAGTACTTAAACAAGTGGCAGAATTATCTTTAAAAAGAGCAAAACAAAGATTACACTAGCCTAAGTTTTTATAAACTTAGTGCAAAAATGTTTTGTTTCCTAGATCTCTTTTTCTGGTGAGTTGAAGAAAAAAAACCTGTATAAATCAAAAGAAAGAGTGCACAATCAGAGGTTGAAGCCACTTAAATTTAGTAATTATAGATAGAAAATGGAAATAGGCTGCAGACTCAAATGAAATTTTATCAAGAGACTGGAAGCTTTCAGTGTTGTTCTGCTGAGCTGAAAAAACAAAACAAAATCCAAACATCTTTAACACATCTCTGAAATGACCAAATTTCTCTATTGGCTACTAAATCCTATGTAGATAGTAAACTGTCTGAAAAAGGTGTAAATGCCAAAAACAAGGGGGAGGATGAGCCATCCTACACGGCCAAGGGAGAAGAAAGGGAAACTGGTAATGTTTAACTTACTCTTCGATGTGTAAAATAATTAAAATTGAGACAGACTGATTTGATGGAGGTGAGGGTCTCAGAAGGGGGAAGGCATCTCCAGGCATTGTGCCCGGGACTCATGGAGTAGGCTTTTAAGGATTTATCTTTTGTTGGATCAGTTTGCTGGGTTTAAGGAACAAAATATATTGTATCTCAGCAGGGCTGTTCAAAAACAAAACAGAGAAGAGAGAGTGCAGAATACAAAGAATGGAATGTGCTTACATTCAGTTCAAATGGGGAGGGTTAATTAGCACATCAAAGGTGCACGACAACAAAAGAAAAAAAATCTGAAGCAAGCAAGTCAGCTTGATAAGAGAGTTGGGGTGATCAAATATTTACAGGGCTGTCATTCTTTTGTCTTCCACTCCCTCCTCCTTCTCCATCCTTAAGGGCTGCATTGACTGACAGGGCGCTGAATAGGAGCTTCCTCCCACATTGCTGCTGCTTGGGGATACTGTATTGGGGAAACAAAATAGCTTGCCCACTCTTTACTTGTCTGGCAGCTATTAAGTGTAGGAGAACTCTGCCAAAGGGAATGAGAACAGAAAAAGCAGCAGGGCAGCTCTGTGCATCGCCTCTGTTTATAGCACAGGTCCTTAACTGAGGGACTAGCCCACATGCAACATCCAGAGTCACTTTGGATGTTGAGATGGGTGCCATATCAAGTCAGTTATTATTTCTGATGACCACATGGAAGGATTTTCTCTGGGATAATCTGTCCCCAACCCCTGGCCTTTCAGATCTTCCTGCACTGCACATATCACTGATGTAATCAAATCCATCCTTCCTTCTTCTTCTTCTCTTGCCTTCACTCTTACTCAGCATTATGTACTTCTTAAGGGGGCTGGGCCTTCACATGTGTACAAAATATGATGATCTGTACCTGGCCATTTCTGCCTTGAATGAGGTCTCTGGATTGATTTTGTTCAGCGATGCATGATTTTTGCTTCTTGGTTATCTATGGTATTCTCAGGAGTGTCGTCTCAAACATTGGTTCAAAACTCTTTGTATCTTGCTTCTTCAAAAACTTATTTTTAACTTCCAAAGAGTCACAGGGTAAATCATAATTAATAATAATTCATTCAATAAAAGTTAGTTATGGTCCTAGTCCAACCCATTGCTCTCCGTAATTTGGGGAATGTCTCTGTCTCCCTCCATCCATCATCCATCTCTATCTCTCTATCCATCACACACACACACTGGAAAAATTAAAGAAAGGTTTTTTTTATAAATCCATCCAAAGGGAATACAGGTGGGAAAGCAAGATTGCAAATACAATTTCACTCCAACTTTAAAAAAAAAAAAAAAGCTAACAGATGGACACAAGGTTCACCAGAACTTCTGATTTCTCTTATCAAAATTCTTCTTTCCTTCCTTAAAGGAGCTTTGGGGAGGTCTCCAATGAGGTCACGTTGGGGGGGCGGGTGTGGGGTCGCCTTTATTTTTAAGAATACTACCGAGCCTCTCATGTGATCCAAAGACATCCCTGAAAATGAAATGGACAGCTGCAGCTTGATGGATAGTATTGAAATGGAAAAAAAAGAACAAAGGTAAGTAAGAATGCAAGGGAGCATTCGGAGATGTTTGTGTGACAGGTTGCATTTTGGTGAACTGGTGCTTTCCAACTGGTTGTATCACCCATGGCAGCTATTATGTGCTGGGTGGGGGAAGGAAACAATCACTCAAGAATGGCAATGATATGTAGTCAAATGCCAAATGAGCCCACCAGCCTTCTCCCCTGCCCACAGTGAGGTCCATCTATATTAGATTGCAACTTTGCAACAAGTGTTTAGAATTTTTAAACCTTTCTACAATGCTTAATTTTAAAAAGTCCTTACATTATCCATCCAGAGTCACTGAGAGTCAGGCAGCATACAAGTTTAATTAACAATAATGTTATATATTATAAGTATATGGTATAATATATAATATATATTTTATATGTTAATTAATACCATATATTCCTAGTATGCCTACGGTTATACTTTTTTCCTGGTCTCTCTCACTTCTACCCGTGTTGGAACTTTAAGTCATACAAATTATTTATTTATTTATTTATATTTATCTGTTATATTTATTTGCCAACTATCTCACTGTGGCAGGTAACTTACAACAATAAGAAGGAAAAAAAATAAACAGAATAGAAATAAAATAACAATGAAAAAAGAATGAAAAAAGGAAACAGTGAGAATACATCAATATGATTTTAAAAAGAATTAAACTGGTATTTTTTAAATTTACGCATTTATCTCAAAAGAAAAGAAAAACTGCCAAAAGAAAAAAAACTATTGTCTTTCATTTGTGGCTAAAAGCACTGAAGCAGGACCAGTAATAAAAAATAATTGCCTACCATAAGGTATGTATGTACTACAATGCTCCAAATATTCTAATAATAATCACATGAACTTTTTGTGAAAAAGACTTCTGTCTTCAATAAATAATTTCCACATAGGTTCATCTGCCTGGAAGCATTGCAATTTTGCCACGAAACCTTGCTGTTTTGCCAAGAAGACAGTTTTGTGTTGAGAATTCCTTAGTTCTGAAATAATTTATACACACGCACATACTTTGGAGAACTTTCCATTAAAAAAA